AGGGGAGAAGAGGCGGGGCACAAAAAATAGACACACACACACACACACACACACACACACACACACAGTCCAGCCCTGCACCCGCCGCGTGGGCCTCCTGCCCAGTGATGGCCCAAGGCTGCACCTTTGGTCTGCAGTTCTCATCTCAGCGCAGTCCTCTGGGCCTCACCCATCAATACCATGTGGCCCTGGCTGGTGCAGGTCAGTCCCAGCTCAGAGGCCCCCGACCCTGCCCAAGATAAAGGTGCGCGTGTGTGAGGTGCAGGGGACACCGAGCGAGGCTGTGTAGTGCTCCCAGGTCAGCCGGGCGGTACCCTCTGACGATGAGCCTCTGGCCTCCTGAGCTGGCAGAGGGCAGAGCAGGGAGGGACAGGTGGCCCGAGAGCTGAGGCTGCTGAGCTCTGTCCAGTTGGCCACTGGTCACAGTCTGGAGTGGGAGAGAGAACAGAGAGGGGTGAGAAGTCACTCGGAGATGACAATGCCACCTTTGTAGGTCAGCCCCCTCTCAGAGAGCCATGTGGTCTGGGATGGGCTGTTCCTGTCCTCTACAAATAAAAAAAAAGGCAGAGAGGACTCTGACTTGCAGAGGTCCTGCTCTGTATACTAGTGGGCTGTCGGGAGACCCATGACGCATTTTAGCATGAAACAGTACATCGCAACTTTCCCAACAACCTAATACATGCCGTGCTGCTCACACTGGATCTCATGTAAGCCTAAGAGCAGCCTGACCCAAGGGCATTATACCCTTTTCACAGATGAGAATACTGAGGCACAGAGAGGTGAGCCCAGGGGCACAGCTGAGAAGCAGCAGGGTCAGGGTGGGAGCTGGAACTCCACCTGCTTGAGCAAGTAGCCTCTGGATTAGGAATGCCATCAAGCAGGTAAGTGGGCGTGAAGCTCACTTAGGGTTGGCCATATGGGAAGAGAAGATGAAACCAGGATCCTACTGTGCAGGTCCTACCTGCAGAGTCCTACTGTGAGCAAAGGCTTTGCTGCCCAGGGTTGCAAAGGGACCTCATTTACTTACGAATGAATGGATGAGTGAATGCATAGAAAATCCCACTCTACCTAAAGTCCTATCATGCCTGATCACAGGATTTCTTGGCCTTTTTTTTTTTTTTTTCCTTTTTCAGCCCAACTCCAAAGCAAAATATAGAAAGGAAAGCTGCCTGCCTCTCTCTCTCTAACCAGTGGGCTTTAAGCCCCTCTGTTCAGTTGAACTCCTACTCTCTCATTCCTGACCCCTAGGAGAGCAGAGGTGATGGCCCAAGTGACCCTTGACTTTTGTCACAGCAGGCACTTGTGGGTCCCGGTCATTCCAGTTCTCCAACTCGTTGGCATTTCCTTGGCTGGGCAGAGACTCCTGTCTGTTTTCACACCCAATCTGTTCTAAGTCCTGCCCGGCTGCCACACTGAGGCTCATTCTCCCTGCTGGCAGACAGTAATCCTCCCAGCACTTCTGCAGGTGGTGGTAGGGGGTGGTAGGGCTTGTGGCCTTCATTTTCAGAGCATGAAACTGAAGCTCAGAGAGGTCAAGCGATGTGCCCGAGGCACACAGCTTATTAGCTGTGAGCGGGGATTCCAATCTTTGTTTGTCTGAGAAGTCTGTGTTCTTTCCAATTGTCTGGGGGGAAAAGATGAGCCCTTGGGGGAAGAAGGAGTCCCATCCTCTAGGTTTGGGAAGCTCAAGTTGCCCAGTGAGGTGTGGGCAGCAGCTCCTGCTGCCCAGTCCCCACACCTGCTCTGCAGGGTGCTGCCCTGGGGCTCTTCATGGGCCCCATGGAAGACTCCAACAAGGCTATGTGTGCCTGAGCACACAGGTGGGGGTTTGCAGAAGTGCATGCCTATGTCCGTTTACCTGTGTGTACCTGTGCACTGGGGGAAGGCAGAGCAGTGTGTGTGGGATGTGTATGAGTGAGCTGTACACACGTACTATGATTGTGTATGTGTGTGTGTGTACCTGAGTCTGCATATGTATATGGGTTTGAATGTAAGAATGTTTTCATGGAATGTGTGTGTGTATGTGTGTATTGTGTATCTGAGTGTGCCTGCATGTGGATGAACATGGATGTATGTTTCAGGTACTATTCCTGCATCTTCAACTGTGTGTGCATGAATACACACAAGCATGTATGTCCAGGGGTTACTGGCAGAGTGGTGGGGAGCAGAGTCCCCTTAGGAGCCTCATCTGGGCCTGTCTCTCTTTACCTTCTAAGAGATCAGTCCAGAGGCTGCGGTGGGACACACCATCCTCTCAGTCTCAGATAGGGCTGATCACCAGGTGTCTGGATCCCACATGGCTGGGGTGAGGGGAGGGGCAGGGCATGAGACCTCAAAGGAAGGACCGAGGAAGACACTTACAGCAAGAAGACACTTTGAGAACCTTCCCTGCCCTTGTGTCCATGCAAAAGAAAATTCTGGAAGCTGACAGCTGCCTCGCTGGCTTCCTGAAAGCTAGACCTTGTGGTGGGGTCCCTGAACACCTGACATTTGGGGCTTGGCAGGTTCAAGGCATCAGCTTACTGTGAGATGCTCAGACTCACAGGACATCAACAATCAAGAGAGGAGCAATGGGTAGCCTGGTAGCCATGGGAACCGTGGCCGTGGAGGGCAGGCTCTAGGACCCAAATCCCAGAGCAGACTCCACTGCCAGAAGCCTGTAAGGGAAGCATGGTAGCTGGGGGATGGGTTCGTGGAAAGAAGCTGGTAGAGCGGAGGAGTAAGAGACAGAAGCTAAAAGGGGACCAAAGCCAGAGAACAAGGCAGGGGGAGAGATGTCCACAGAGTAAACCTACTCTGCAGACTTCCAGAAATGTCCAGGGTGAGACAGGCGGCGGTTTCGCTTTGGCAGTTTCTCCAGCATGTCCATGAGCTTGGTGAATGTAGGCCTCTCTTCTTGTTCGAAGGCCCAGCAGAAGAGAAGAATGTCCTAAAAGGAACCAATGCATATGATGGAACATAATTCTCGACTACTCTCTGGTACTTCATTGGATCTGCCTGTTTGCCCAGCCACCTGCCCCTCACCATATTCCTCTATCGCTCACCCACCCATCCACCCACCCACTCTTCCATCATGCACATATCCATATAGCCATTCATGCATGTCCATTCATTCATCCTTTGTCCATCCATCACCCACCTACCCAACCATCCGTCTTCCCATCCACTGTCTGAGCCTGTATAATTAACTAGGTAGGCCCTGTGCTAGAAGGTCTAGGATACATTGAGATCGATAATACTCCCAGAGAGTTTCTTGGTATTTTTCTCAATAAGGAGGAATTACAGTGCATCCTGAGGAGACAGCCAGGTGGCATGGTGGTTAAGGCAACTGGATCCCACATGACCGACTGCACAGTTCAAGACCCAGACCTGATGGCTTGAAAAACAAGCTGGGTGCATGTACATGTGAGAGGAGAGTGGAGGAGAAAGGATTGTGGGCAGCTCCCTCCAGGGGGTGCTTTCTTACTTTCCCTCTCTGTCTCTGTCTCTCTCTGTTTAGCACATATGCCCTAAAGCTTTTTATTTTTTATTTTATTTTTTTAAGAGTATACCCTGAGGTCTCCATCCAAATCCCAATAATCTAAGTACCCTTCAGAGTCACAGAGGAGAAAAATTCCTTTTAGTAATCTCTTCATCTGAGAAAGGAAACCCAGAGGCACATATTCCTCACAAACATGCCAGGTAATTATACCTTCTCTGACTTAGGTGCCTTCTGATCAAAAGAGAGGATTCTTCCTGCTGTGTTTTAGAGGAAGATTATTAATTTCTATTCAGCCTTCTCTCTTTCTATATATCTTGTTCTGAGCTGGATACTGCCTTAAAATTACTATGTAGGTACAAATAAAATGAGAACTATTAATATTCATGATAGTTTAATGACTATCCTTTAAAAATAACAAAAAGAGGGATTCATTGGTTCTATCTGACTCAATAATCCATTGCTAGGAAAAAACCTAGTTTAGGTTTACTGTGCCCCTGGTGGCAGGTACCTGAAATTGCAGGCACAGTGCAGAGGCCTTGCCTTCTAAACTTCAAAGAATTGTCTGACAAGGTTGTGGGGTATTTTTTAAAAAATATTTTTAATCATCCTCTGGAAAGCATCTGTAATCTTATCACATAGGATAAAGAAAGCTCAGGACCACACCTGCTTCTCACTTTGTCCCCTGGACCCAGCACTATCCTGGACTTACCGAGATTTCTTTTCCCATGCCGATCTGGCTGAGGTTGGGTTTCATGCCTGTGCCCATTTGCCAGATTATTGCTTCTGCTGGTTGGGTCTTGAAAGGCCACTCCCTGGCGTGGAGTTCATACCAGATTGTGCTGTTGGCAGATGTTGTAAAGGAGTGTTGGTGTGGTATGTCATGACCCTGAACCCCTTTAGCAACTATACCTGGTCAGGCTTCTGGCTGACATTTCTCTCCCCAGCTTCTTCCTCATGGGATTGGTATTTTAATACCTTTTCAATGTCTTAGGAGTGGTGTTTATCCTAGGAAACTTCTCTGGGACCTGAATGAAAATGAATCAAATCCTAGAACCCAAATAGTTTAATGTAATGTGATTAGAATCTCTGGCCCCGGTGCCAGCAGCCAGTGTGGTGGTTGGGGTGCTGGACTCCCACATGGCTGACTGTGGTTTGAATCTTGGACCTGGTGGCTTGCTTTCTCACTTTCCTTTTCTCTTTCTCTGTGTCTCTCTCTGGTGAGCACATGTGTCCTATAGCTCAGTTAAAAAATAACAATAATAAACAAAATAATAACCAAAAAAGAATCTTTGGCTCCTAGGAAATCAATGTAAGTGAACAATCAGAGTTATCAACCAAAAATCCATTTATAAGGATGTTCTCTATAGCATTATATAAAATAATGTAATATAAACAGGAATAACACAGTTGTTCTACAAGAGGACCTGGTTGCAAAGTATTATGGTGAATCCATATAATTAAATGGAATTCTATATTACTATTATTATTAAAATATTTTAAAGAGGGGTTAGCAGGTGGCATGGTGATTAAGGTACTGAATTTCCACATGGATGACTGCAGTTTAAATCTCAGATCTGGCAGCTTGAAAATCATGCTGGGCACGTGTACCAAGATTCTGAGAACTGAGAAGGGATTGCAGTGTGGCCATTTCCCCTGAGGGTGATTCCTCAATTTTCTTCTCTCTCTGGTGAGTGCATGTGCCCTGTGGCAAAGATCTAAAAGAGAAAAAAGAAGAAAATTTCAAAGAAATTTTGCTGACATGGAAAAATACTTAATATATAATTTTAAGTGTAAAAAGCAGGCTGAGACTGTATATAAGGTATGATATTACTCTTTTTCAAACCATTGTATACGTATGCACAAGGAAAAAAGATAAAACATAGGAACATGTTAACAGTGGCTAACACTGGGTGATTGAATGTTTTTCTTTTATATTTGTGTTTTCTAAGTATAAACCATCTTGTAGAATGATGGAAAGAAAAACGAAAAAGTTTGAGGGTCATATGGACTTGGATTCAAAGTCGACAGACTGTTTCTGACTGACACTAGCATTATGATGCTGTAGAAGTCCCTTCAATTCTCAGGGTGTAGATTTCTTTACCTGCTAAATGAGGATAATGATGACAGTGCAGTGGAACAAAGTTTATCTGGAATATGGCATGCCAGAATGGTTTGATGCTAGAGTGATTCTAGAGGGATTTTCTACGCCACCATGTTTTACAAACCACAGCATTGTAAGGAGTGGAGAAACGACTGCTCCAGTGAGTTGCGAGTGGCCATAGGGTGTGCACTAACGATTCCTGAGGGGTGGGCAGTGGTGAGGACCTGGGGTGTCGCTGAGCTGTACCAAGCAGATAGGCCTTGGTGCTCTGAGAATAAGAGTCCCTAATGCAGGAAGTATCTGAAACAGTTCCAGGAAATAATCTTTTCTTCTGCTGTAAGGTAATTTATGTAAATTTGCTTTAAAGAACATGGAACACTGTTGTCCTCTTGACTGATTAGAGGACAGTGTCAACCAGCTCTTCCTAGAGTTTTACGTCTCAGCAGGCATCTGCTTTCTCCCTGGCAACCTCGCGCCTCTGGGGTGGGGGCGGGGTGATGCTCCTGCGTTGTAAAGTCCAGTTAGCTGATCAGGAAGTCCTCAAGAGAAGCCACCCGACTGCAGTTACTATGATCAACAGTGACGCTTACTGAGGTTGAACTCTGGGCTAGATCCTGTTCTAAGTAAGCCCTTTGCTAAAGGAGGTCCATAAAGTGTGTCCGTTTGTTGTCCTTGACTTTGCTGACCCTGGAGAATCTGCCTCTCCCAGGACTAGGCAATGCCTGGAGGTGGTAAAGGACTCATCTGTGAGTGTGTCTTTTGCATACAAACCAAGCAACCACCACCTTCTCTTCTAGCCTTGCAAACTCGGGGCCAAGCTTCCCCACCCCTCCTCCCCAGAGCCCACTGTAACTATTCCAAGTAGCCAGTTCTAAGCCTGCTCATTCTGCCTCCCCTGTGCCTTCCCAAGGAAACCGCAGTAAAGGTTCCTGCCATGTACTCCTCCTGCTGCTTTTGCCTTCTGCCGACCCTGGTGGTTTCCTACGTGGCCCCTACATGGCATGGCAAGTCCTCTCTTTCTAGGTACCGTGAGTGACAAAGTATCTTTGCAGTGGTGACTGTCTTCTGATCTGATGACTTCATCATACCTGAATAAATAATAATAAAACTTATATTTTAAAATAGGAGGCATTATTATCTCTCTTTCATAGAGGAGAAAACTGAGGCTCAGAAAGGTTCTGTCTTACCCAGAAGCACACAACGAGTAGAGGGGAGGCAGCTAGAAGTTGAACCCAGTTTATCTGACTCCAGAATTGTGTCAGTGGACAAAATACTCCATGGGAAGCAAATGATTTGGGGGTGCAACCTTGCAGTTGACAATTAGAACCCGGCGAAGGGGGCAGAGAGAGGCTGCAGCCACCATTCGTGCGCATGGGGGAAGGAGGCCATGAGGTGTCCTTCTCTGGGCTGGGTACCTTATGGATGTTTTCTCACCGGATTCTTAGAATTCCTCAATGGGTTTTATTACCTTCAATTTAGTTGAGAGAAACAGGGTATTTTTTTTTTGCCAGCGGGTTCATGTGCGAGAGAGAGAGAGAGAGAGAGAGAAAGAGAGAGAGAGAATCCCCCACGGGGAATGGTCACACTGCAATCCATTCTTCTTCATTTTCCCCTCCTTTCAGGATTCTGGACATGCATGCACATGCACCTGGTGTGTTTTCAAGCCACTAGGTCCAGGACTCAAACCACACGGTTGGCCTTGTGGATCCTGCTGCCTTAACCAACATGCCACCAGCTGTTACAAAGAGAAATAGGACTTTGAAGGGTAAATAACTTGCAAGCCCAACAGGGCTCCATGGTTAAAAGCTCCAACTCAGGAGTTAAGAGTGTGGCAGGGCTGAATCACAGCTCCACCACTAATTGCCATAAGGCAAGTCCCTGAGCCATTTGGAGCCTCAGTTTTTTTGCTTGTTCATTGGGAACAACATGGTCCCTGCTTCGGAGGGTTATCGTGAAGATTCCATGAGACAGTGCACATAAAAAGCTTAACACAGTGCTCCACACACCCGTAAAAGTTCGTTTTTGTTTTAAGTCATTCCTGAGCATGAGGTTCCCAAGCAACAAGATACACCTAATTGGCAGGAAACCAGGAGCGCCAGGTCCTTCTGAATTCAGCAGTGTCAGAAATAAAAGCCTCATTAAAACTTCCTTTGAAACCCAACTTCCAAGAGAAACTCACTTGAAGAAAAAAAAATTGCTAACGATGAAAACGCCAGCGAAAAACCAATTACTTACTTTGGTACATTTTGTTAATTACTTTTTTTTTTTTTTGCCTTTTGCTAAATTTACACTGAAATATAGCAACTTAATTATTGCAATTTGGTTTCAGATAACAATATCTAACTAGATAAAGTTTTGGACATCAGCTAATCAGAGTAAGCGACAGCTTTTAAAAGGCTCTATGCAATGGACTTAGAGAATTCTGATCTTCTGAAAACGTTCCCTCTGGGGTTTATAGTGAGGACACAGTGAGGGTACTCTTCCAAGGACAATGGTTTCCTGAATGTCTCTTCGTGGTGCAAAGTCTAGCTGCACACATCTGCAGGCTCGTAACTTTCCAAAACAGCTTCCCCGGCGTTTTCTCCCCAAGTTCTTGCAATCAATCACCCATGGACAAGTAAGGCAAGGATTAGGGGGCCATCTGAGACACAGGAGCTTAGAAGCCATCCTGGTTGCACCTTTCAGAACCCTCCACCCTGCTCCTTGGGGCTGTGTCTTGTGGGCTCTTCCTCCACGCCCAAAGACGCCTCATTTTCTCTCGTGCTGCAGTCACTCTTTGCTGAAAAGTCCTAACTGCATCTTTTCTAAACTCGAGACACATAGAGTCAGCTGCCCTCTGGCTGGTACTACTGGATGTCTCCAAAGTACTGGGTTGTTGAAAAAGTCCTAATGTATTTTTCTATGCAAAAATGCATCATGACTTTTCCAATGACCCAAGAGCTCAACTTGCCATGTTGAAACCTGACCCTGTGCCTTCCTGGCATACCCTAACCTGCCGCACCACCAGGGTCTCCTTGGTGAACGAGAACACTCACCACCAAGTGCTTACAGGAGGCACCTGAGCACTACCTACATTTGATCCATCGCCAAGCTCTGCCACCTGCACCCTCTCAATGCTTCTTGTGTTCATTTTCTTTCTTTTTTTCCCCTTTCCTTGCCCCCCTTTTTTTTTGTTAGAGATATTTTTGCTATAGGGCGCCTGCGCTCACCAGAGAGACAAAAAGTGAGAAAACCCCCTCCTCCCCATCGGGATGGCCACACGGCAATCCCTTCTCCTTCATTCTCCTCTTGGGATTTTGGGCATGCACGCACACATGCCCGTTGTGAGTTTTAAGCTGCCAGGTCCGGGACTTGAACCGCGGTTGACTATGTGGGAGTCCAGTGATGCAATCATTACACCATGTGCTGGTCCTCTTGTGTCCATTGTCATCTTACACATCCATGGGTACTGACTCAGGGAAGGCTACCAGCATCTCCCTGTGGATTGAACGGACACCTGACCTGTCTTGTCCTTTTCCATATCCTTTATACAGAAGCCAGAGTGATTTGATTAGATTGACCTAAAACTCAAATTATGATTGTCGTCCCTGCTTAATAACCATCAATAGCTCCCTAGTGCCCTAAAGATTAAATGAGCTTTTTAAGTCACTGAGTCCCTGTAGGATTGACCCTTATTCTCTAATCTCTCATCTCACCACTCCCAGCCTCATATGTTTTCTCCCTTTCCCCCACCCCCATCCTTCTACATATTTCTCCATCCTGGGTAACTTGTTCTCTTCTATTTTTGTGGCTTTTCATTCATCCTTCTATTTGGAACACCTCATTCTACTCTTGTATTTCCTTTCTCTTGGAAGCCCTCCTTGACCTCCCAGCTTGGATTTGGCTGTTCTTTTGGCCCCACAGTCCTGTGTTCACCCTCAGTGGAGCATTTATTTTACTCTACTAAAGCTGACTCTTCCCTTGTCTATTTTCCACTAGACAAGATAGAGTAGAGATCTGTGGTAGTTTAAAAATATGCTCACAAATTCTTTGACAGCTTTTTATATAAAAGGCAGAGCTTACTTATCTTCCTTCCCCATGAGGGTCAGCTGCAACTTGCTTCTAACAAACAGAATACGGTGGATGTGATGATAGGTAATTTCTGAGACTAGGCTATAAATGGCAAAGAGGCTTCTAGCTCTGTTGTTAGGTCACTCAATACCCTACATACAGGTCTGGGTGGCAAGGAGCTGAGGCCTGTTTCCAATAGCCACATGAGTGGGCCATCTTGGAAGTGGATTTTCAGCCCATGGAGCCTTCAACTGAGACCATAGCCCTGGCCTGACATTTTGGTTGTAACTCCATAAGAGACCTAAGCAGCTTATAACCCTCAGCTAAGCTAATCCCTAATTCCTGACCACAGGAACTTGAAGCTGCTAAGTTTTGGGTTGATTTGTTACACAGCAATAGATAACTAATACAAAACCAGATCTTGTCTCCCCAGCACTTGGTATGGTTCTAGTACGTAGTAGGTATAAACATAAGTAGCTGTTGAATGAAAGAATGAATGAGTCAGGTAACTTGTCCTGGCCACATAGTTAGATACCAGGCGTGTAGGTTTGTAACGGTCATTTTTGCTGCTATGTTCCACTCAGATCTCCTAGTCTCACCCAGCAGACCTGCTTGCTTGGCTCTCATAGATAGGTACCCCAGCATTTCTAAAAACCTAGAAGGAAGGCTTGGGAAATGTCCTCTGTTCAGGCTATGGCTCTCAAAGGCCAGGATGGGACCCACCTACCCGAGAGCAAAGACATCGGAGTGCTTAGAGAAGGGGAGCTTGTCCTCCTCCGTGTCAGGGGACAGCTGGCGGATGATCTCTGGCGCCAGGTGGCACAGCCAGCCATTCTGGATGCGCAGTTTGTCCTCCCGCCTGGAGAAGCAAAGCATAGAGTGAGCTCCATGTCCAGCCCAGGGAGGAGCAGCCCGCAGCATTGACTCCAAGTCCCTGGGACATCCATCTCAGCTGGCTCCCTTGGTCCCCTCCATCAGAAACTGCCTGTCTACTTGAGGCTGAAATGCAGTGTGGGGTGCAGGGGGGAGATACATAGCACCGGAGCCTTCACAGGGTCCCATGGCCTCTGACGTTCCCCTGCTGCCCCTCTTCGTTCAATAATGACCATCATTTCATGTTAATTGTGGTAGTTACTGTCTATAAAGTTGTTGGGAATGCTGAATTCATGAATAAAAAATTATTGCTCATACAGAAAATAAGTGTGCATGCACACACACACACGTCCCACACAGATTACGATCTTAAATCTGGGACAAGCAGATGGCATAATAATTACATTGCTGGACCCCCACATAGTAGACTGTAGTTCACATCCTGGACCCAGTTGCTTAAACTCATGTCAGGTGCATGTGAGTGCGTGCCCAATATCCCAAGAGGAGAATGGAAGAGAAGGGCATGGCTATCGGCTACCTCCGAGGAGAAGGGTTTGCCGTGTGGCCAACCCCCCTGGGGGGGGGGGGTTTGATTTCTTGCTTTCTGTTTCTTTGTCTCTGTCTCTCTAGCAAGTGCACGGATCCTATAGGAAAAAAATCTCTCTTTAAAAAAAAAAAGATTATAATCTTAAATCCTAAAAGCAACTCCACGCCCTTTCTTTTATAAAATGAAAAATGGGGTTTGGAGTGTTAGGTGACTTGCCTGAGGAGGTCTCATTAACAGGTGACAGAATTGGGATTCAAATCCCATATAGTTGGCCCAAAGTGGGAACTTCCTACACTAGGTAAATGTGTATGTAAGTGTGCGTGTGTGCATGTGTATGAGAAGGGTCTTCAAAAGGATCATGTATAATGAGCATTATTAATTATGCATGGATTTCAAAATTTTTACACCGACCTACACTGGCACTTTAGTTCTATTTTCTATTAACTTTGTGAAGTCCATACGTATGTATGTATGTGTGCATATGTATTGGGTCATCGGAAAAGTCATGATGTATTTTTCTATGCAAAAACGTGTCATGACTTTCGCAACCACCCAATATATACAGAGTGACAGAGGCAGAGATGAAACTAGAGCCCAAAATAAGAACATCCTCTAAGAAAAGGGGCCTTGGTGTGGGCCAGCCCACCTTCTCCTGGCTGACCAGGCCTCTGGGGGGTGGGTGGGATTCTCTGCCATAAGGATGAGCACCTTGCTTCTGTTTCTTTCCAAACTCCTGGGTCCAAAGAGGACTGGCACTATGGGGTGGGGTGGGGCAGGGCAGGAAGAACAGCAGCAGCCACACAATACCCCTCAGCCTGGGTAGGCGGGCACATGCCTGGGAAGGGGCCAGGAGCCAGACCTGGTGCAGGCACACTGGGGTGTCCCGTTCCCATGGCGATGGGCCCACCAATGACAAACCCAAATCATCTTCATTATGGTTATTATTATGATTAATAACAGGCTGTGGGCAGCTGGCACAGTGGGGTCGGCATCTGAAATGACACCTTCTCTTGAGGATGGCAGAACAGCTGTAGGCTGGGCTCTGTCTGGATGCGTAGTACACGCTCACTTCACTGAGTGCTCCCCGTCTGTGCCTGGACTGGGCAGGTCTCCCCCATTGGGCACACAGGACTCTACCACCATCTTCAGTCAGCCCTAGATTATGGCACATGTGTGCCTAGTGTATTCAGAAAGGATTCTGGGTGCAAACCCAGAACCTTTCCATGTGGGGCAGCCCCAGAGAGCGTTGCATCGCTGCTGCACGGCAGATCAGCCCTGTGTTCTCAGCCTTCTGAAGCTATGAGGTTGTTGGAAAAATCGTGATACAGTTTTACATAGAAAAACATATAAAAAATAGGTCATGACTTTTCCAACAACCTAACAGGTCATCAGAAGATTTGCAACTTCCCTCAGGTCTTGTGAATGCTCCCTCTGGTGAGATCCAATTGCTGTAGAAGAAGTCTGAGACCACCATGGTGAATGCAGGCTTGCAGAGAGCCACAGAGGGTGGGAAGAGTGGGTAGGAGAGAGAAGTGGGGGAGTAAGGGCAGAAGGAGAAGAATACAGAACGAGAGAGAGAGACAGGTAGATGGACAGACAGGATCCATTGGCTCCCCGCTCTCCCAGCAATCCCAGCCCAGATGTGTGACTAAGGAAGCCTTCCTATGACTGCCTTCAATCCCCATCAGGCTACCTACATGGCACAAAAGCCCAGCTGAGCCCAGGCAACCCATAGACCCATGAGAGATCATAACGACTTGTTGCTTTAAGCCACTAAGTTTTGAGGTGGTTTGTTGTGTGACCATACCAGACTGGAACGGGGAGAAAAGCCCAGAACACCATAGATGGCTGCTTGTGAATAGCTATGAAATGTGCATTTTTTTGTTGTTGCTGTTGGGAGTTGCTGAGGGCTCCTAGCCTCTCCTGACATGAAGTGGGTTTGTGTCCACAACTAGGCTGCGGCAGAGGTAGGAGGGGGTGCTGTCCAGGCAAGGAGGCCAGGAGCCACTTGCCCTTGACTTGGCTGAACTCTCCTCTGGCTGACACTGGGTCTCCATAAATGAGCTAAAGGAAAGGGCGCTCAAGTTTTTCTTCCTTTTCTTGTAGCTTCAGAAAACCAGGTGTAAAGGAAGATTAGAAGCTCTGCCCCTTTTCCTCCATTTGGGGAGCATCTAGTGACAAGAAGGAAAATAGTATGGACAATGCCACCAGGAGGAAGGAACTGGTGATTTTTTTTTTTTTAAAGTGTCTGCTATAGAGCATGTGCAGTTGCTGGGGAGGGGTGGGAGGTGACCACATTGCAATCCCTTCCCTTCCATTCTCCTCTTGGGATTTTGAGTGTACACTGAGTGCACTTTTTCTTTTTCTTCTATTTTATTTATTTATTTTTATTTTTCTAGGTTTTTGCTACAGGGCGTGTGTGCTCCCCGGAGAGAGACAGGGAGAGGGAAAGTGAGAAATACTTCCACCCTCCTGGGGGATGACCATGCCACAATCCCTTCTCCTCCATTAGGATTTTGGGCACATGTGCACATGTGCTCAGCCTGAGTTTCGAGCCACTGAGTCCAGGACTTGAACTGTGTGGGAATCCAGAGCCTTAACCACCATGCCACCTGCTGGCCCTGGAATTGCTGATTTCTTTAAAGAGCTCAGAACCAGGTTAAATAAAACACCTGCGGGCCTCCTTTTCTTTTGATGCAAATACTTGAGGTCACAGAGCTGTCACTAATTACTTCCTGTGCCCTTAGCCTGGCTGGGGCCATGGGAAAAGTCAGTGTGTAATTTTCTTTCCAGCGAAGTAGGAATAGAACTGCTTCTGGGAGTCAGAGGGCAGAAAGAATCTCATACAATCTAACCCTCCTGTGTTCTTGGGTTTCAGTATGTGGGAGTCTCTCCAGGCTATCTACTATTTTAGTTGTTTATTTACTGCCTAGTTAAAGAAGTCTTCAACAAGTTCACGGAAAATGCATATTATGAAAAAACTATGCCTGGATTTCAGATAAGTTTTTGCACCACAATAAATATATTCTTTAACTCCATGTTTTCATAAATTCTTTGAATCCCCCTTGTATTTACTTATCTTGGGCATTGTACATATTAGGTTGTTAAAAAAGTCATGATGTGTTTTCTGTGTAAAAATGCATGAATTGGGACCAGCAGTTGGCATAATGGCTACGTCGCTGGACTCCCATGTAGTTGGCTGTGATTCAAGTCCCAGACCTGGTGGCTTAAACTCATGCTGGGCGTGTATGCGTGCGTGTGTGCCCTGTATTTACTTATCTTGGGCATTGTACATATTAGGTTGTTAAAAAAGTCATGATGTGTTTTCTGTGTAAAAATGCATGAATTGGGACCAGCAGTTGGCATAATGGCTACGTCGCTGGACTCCCATGTAGTTGGCTGTGATTCAAGTCCCAGACCTGGTGGCTTAAACTCATGCTGGGCGTGTATGCGTGCGTGTGTGCCTAAGACCCGGAGAGAATGGAGGAGAAGGGATTGTGGCATGGCCATCTCCCCTGGGAGGTGTTGAGTTCTTGCTTTCTGTCTCTCTGGCAAGCACACGTGTGCTCTATAGCAAAAACTTCTCCAAAAAAATAAAAAGGCATCATGTATTTTCTGACAATCCAATAGTTTTGGAGACTGCAGGGAATTCTTTCTGGTACAATCTGAAAAAGAACTTCAAGCATCTGTTTTTTGTTTTGTTTTGTTTTGTTTTGTTTTTACTGCATTACATAGAGGCAGCACACAAAGTTTCTCCAAAATTTCAGATGGCCTGGCTTAGATATAAGGTATTCTATAACATGAACAAAGTTCATTTAGGGGAGTCATGAAATCAACAGAAATCAATCGTTCAACAAAGCAGCTGAGACAGAAGTACAATGAGAGAAAACACTAGGGTTGTCTTTCTAGAGAGACACGCTTTCATAAGAAACATGATCAGAAAAAACACACAGGGGTTTAAAGTGTGTGTGTGTGAATGCATATATTCCAAATTAAAATTCACAAGGGTAGACCTTCTGAATTATGAGTTGTTTATTTGGGATCAAGCTGTTTTTCACATGGTCAACTCAATGTGGCTGACTCTAGGGTGAGTGGTGGCTGAGAGTTAATTACATAACAGTGGTTAATGATTCTCCTGGGTGATCTGGAGAGGTATATGCAAATCGATGGTAATTACAACAACTCTGCAGCAGCTCTGTCTGTGGAGTATTTGATGTACTGGCGCTGGGCTGGGTGCTTGCTGTGCGCTATCTCATTTGATCCTCACAAGGCTCCTACCAGGTTGGCATCATCATACTCATCGTTTTTCTTACAGACAAGGAAACTAAAGTTTGGAAAAGTTGTGTGACTTGACTGAAGTCACAGTTAATAAGTGGCAGAGCTAGGCTGGGTCTGACTATATAACCTTTACTCTTAACTCTACCATTGCTATGCTAGAATTTATTCTTAAGAAAACTTTGAGCAGAAACTCTTGGGTAAGTTCAACTTCCAGGTTTATACCTGAGGTCAAGGGAAAGTCCTCCAGGTAAATTCAAGGTATGGCAGGACTTGAAGATGCTCTGTGCCTGGTCACGTGCACTCACAGGTGCCATGTGCAAGACAGGTGAGCACCATGCTGGCTCCATGGGAGTACGAGTAAGACTTTGATATCCCCCATCAGAGAGCAGCCCAGACACTCTGCTCAGTGACCTCAGGTCTGACACTGACTCTAGATCACCAAAGCCATTGGGATGACTTCCTCCCACCCCAGATTATCATCTATCAAGGACTTTGATGAGCCCTTTTGCCACCTCTCACCTGCCAGCCTGTAGCACCCCGGAAATGCTGAAGAGTCCAAAATCCGTGATGACCACTTTGCCGTTGTCGTAGAAGACGTTCTTTGATTTGAGGTCCTTGTGAAGGATTCCCTTGGCATGGAGGTAGCCCATGCCCTGTAAGAAGCAAGGAAATAAGGAGTTGCCAAAAAAAAGCCCCTACATATCTGCTGCCCCCCTGTACTTAAGCTCGAGGTCTTTGTCTTGCACACTCATCTTCCTCCTGCCAGTAAGACCATGCTGAACAGTGGCGGAGTCCAGGGTCTGACCACAGAGCCTGGAGGTGGGGTGGGAGAATGCATAGCAAGGGATAACAGGCAGGGCCCCCAAGTCGCAAATCCATCACCACCCTAGGACCATTGCAAAGTCATCTGAGGTGTTCCCAGAGGGAAAACAATGTGGAAGAACCTAGGAAGAGCTTCCCAGAGAAAGAAATTCCATCAGCCATCCTCCCCTACTTCCCCTGTAAAGACTAACTCTTATCCAAGAGACAGTTCCTTACAGCTAGATAACACTTGCCAGGGCAGAATGTCCTGAGTTCCTCAAGAGATGCTATAGGGTCTGATAATCAAGAACAGAGAGAAGAGTCTATTGGAGGTTTAGCTCAAGGGCCAACATCTAGTTTTTTTCTCTGCTTTTGTGAACAGTTAGTTTTATTTCTTCCCATGGCTTAGTCTTAACACTGTCAATGGGAGACAAAAGCCTGAATACAACTGACTGATAAGGTGTATGCCAGAAAACACAGGATGTTCCTGTTTGTTTGAGAAGGAACTCCAACAATGTGACATCTTCCCAGCAGCCATGGAGACAGATGATTTACACTTATGGGAATCTAAGGACTCAAAGGATAAGGCATCCTAACCAAGAGAAGGGAGCAACTCATAGGAAACCCAGGACCTTGGTACCACAGGAAGGAAGCACCAAGTAGAACCCAAGCATTGGTAGACCCTTCCTAATGATTGTATCTTAGCAGAATTCTTACTTCCATACTGCCTGGTATTTTTCAGGTCAAGGTTAATCTTTGAAGTTCTCACTGGTGGTCTAAAGTTAGACCATGAACCTCAGGAGCCTTAGGGTTTCTCAGGAAGAGCCCAGGGCTTTCTGAGATTCAGGAGTCCAGAGTGTGTGGTACCTTCACAATTTCCTGGGCGATCTGCCTGGTTTTGTTGACATCCAAGACGATCTTGGCATCCCTCACCACAGAATAGAGTGTCCGTCCCTTACAGAGGCTGAAAAGCAAATGGACAAGATAAATTATTCGCAGTTGTTAGGAAGAGAGTGACACACAGTGGTTATTAGAAGTGACAAATGGGACCAGCAGATGACAGAGTACTTACATTGCTGGACTCCCACATGGCTGACCACAGTTCAAGTACCAGACCTGGACCCAATGGCTTGAAAACCATGCTGGGCACTAGTGCATGTGTGCCTATGATCCCGAGAGGAGAAGGGATTGTGGTGTGGCCATCCCTCTGGGGGAGGGTGTGATTTCTCACTTTCCCCTTTGCTGTCTCTGTCTCTCTTAGGTAAGCACACATGTCCTAAGGCAAAAACTTCTTAAAAAAAAAAAAGAAAGAAGTGACGAATGATCAAGTGGTCATGTGGACACACTGCTATTGTGCCTGTGAGATAATAGGCCAGGGACTGGACTTCAGTTGTGGTTCTGAGATGGAAATTTGGGAGGATGTTCTTACAGAGTCTTCAGGAAATGTACTAGCTTGCTAGCAGGCAAGGACACCTGTAGAATCTAGCCTGGTTCTGAGATGGAATTATCACGTCCAGGCTATCTTAGGGTTTCCCAGGTGGAAAACTGTAGAAACCAATGACTTCTGAGTCCTCTGACAACACTCAGACAGCACTCTGTCAGCCATTTGTCCCAGATGTTCCCACTTGCCGGGAGTTGCCAGTGTGAGGGGACAGTGATGAAAGACCAGCAAAGCAATGGCTGATGTGTACTAAGTATCATCAGCAAATGATGCATTCAATCCTGTAGGACAGCAGTGTGTAAACACCAATGATGCCACCCCCAAACCAGATGCCTGTCTAGATAGAGGGTTTTTCAAACTATTTTCAGCCTCATTGAGTTCATTTTGAGGACCACTGGTTTAAGATGAATGACAGGATGAAAAAGGACATTATGCCATGAAAGTAACACCTACTCATTTAGTCACCCCCACACTCATGCGTCTGTTCCTCTGCAGCAAGCCCAATTCCTGGTACACATGGAGCAAGCACTAAGCAAGCAGTCAGTGAATGAATGAACACACAAGGGAATGAATGAATTCAAATCACCATATCATCCCCTGCCCCAACACTGTGGCTGGCTCCTAGTATCCAATGTTGGTTGAGAGCAAGATGTCCTCATGAAAATTAATTTTCCATCTATTGGGTCATGGGAAAAGTCATAATATATTTTTCTATGTATAATTACATTGTGACTTTTCTGATGACCCAATACATCAAAATCATGGCTTTTTCCCCCTTATCTACATTATTGCTAAAATACTTGAGGCATAATATTCATATTTCTCCAAGAAAAGGGACAAGGATGAGGAATTGCCCACATTAACCTGCAAGCCACCCCATCTCTCCCAAAGTCCTGGCCTCAAGGTCGCTCCCATGGGCTGTCCTGGAACTCTGTAACCCCAAATCTCTGGTGATACAGCAAGCCTTTGGCAAAGATGGCACTGTGGCACGTTGATCAAGCCCTCTGTGTCCTGGACTTGCTGAGATTACATTTCCTGTGGATAACTCGACAACCCTGACATCAGAGAGATCTTATTTCTAAGCCCAACACTGCTTCTTACTCTGCATCTCTGGGTGGGTTATTTAACCTCTCAGGACTTCAGTTGCTTTGTCTAGCAAAGGAAAATAATGATACCCTGTAGTATAATAAGAGGATTCAATGAAATAGAGCTTAGTACAATGCCTGGAACTTACTGAGAAATAACAGCAGAGAGGTTAGGAGTCTAGTTAGGATCCTAATCTGTCATTCAGTGCCTGTGTGACACTGGGCAGGTGAGTTAACCTCTCTGACCCTTGGTGATATTCTCTGTAAAATGAGGCTAACAGTTCCTGCCCTACAGGGTGGTTAGGAGAAGCACAGTCAATCAGGTGTGCAAACGTGTAGACACCTCTCCATACCTAACACAGTAAGTCCTCATGAAATGCTGGCTATTGTGAGAGGCAGTAAATGATGGTAAGATGGTGAACAGACACACGTACATGTGCACATATATATAAATGATATATTTATAAATATCCCATCTGTCTATCCATCTAGCCATTCATTCATCTCTTCACTTACACCTGTGCCCATATAACCAACTATTCAGATGCTGCCCATAACCACCCATCATCTTCCACTAAGATTCATTTCTTCACCTGTGTAAGGTGAGATTCACAGGGTGGCTGACTCACACGGAGTCCGACTGGTCCATCCAAGGTCACCAGCAAGTTGGCGGGAGACAGCCATCGATGACTCAAAGCTGCCTCTCCCTTCCCCCACCTCCCTCCCTCTTTCTGTCCAAGGCAGTATGTTTACTGTGGCTGCTGGAGGAGAGATGGAGGGAGGGTGGACTGAGCAGCCAATTAAGCCTTATTGACATTTAAATATTCGCAATGGTGGAGACTGTGGGTGGATTCCCTCCCCTGGATATTTCATTCTTGAACAGCCACCTACACTCATTACAGGCCAGAGCCCATAAAATATCATCCCCACTGCCAACAGCAGAGCAAATGATCACAACAGCCTTCAAGACTCCCAGAGTCTCTTGTTCAGAGTAACTGCATGAGAGTTCAAGCTTCAGATTTCTATTCCTTGTGTTCCTTCCCTGCTTGCATCCTCCTTTCCAGCAGCTGCTCAAGTCATTGCTTTCCTCACTACCCTGTGGCCTCTGGACCTGCTGGACAAGCTAATGCTGACCAATGGTCCTAAGCTAGTAACACTACAGTTTGGTACATCTATTAAACTGAAATATACAAATAATTCAGGTCCAGCATGTCTTCCCCTAAGCACATACTTAATAGATGAACACCTCAGTGTCACTCAAAAATCTGTACTAGAATGTACTATATGTTAATAGTAACTCATTCATGATCCTCAAACTGGAATCAACCTTCAATAGACTGATTTAGAGAGAAAGAGAGAGAAAGTGAGAAGAATCAACCTGCAATAGACTGACTTAGAGAGAGAGAAAGTGAGAAAGCAAGTCACCAGGTCCTGAACTCTAACTGCAGTCAGCCATGTGGGACACCAGTGCCTTAACCACTATGCCACCTGCTGGCCCTCTTATTTTGAAATTCTAATCCCAATGTGATGACATTAAGAAGTGAGCCTTTGGGAGTAATTAGATCATAAGGGTACATCCCTCAATAATAAAATTAGTGTTCCCTTTGGGAGGTAATTAGATCATAAGGATACATCCCTCAATAATAGAATTAGTGTTTTCCTATAAGAAGACTGGAGAGGTACAGCGGTGGCATGATGCTTTGAGAGGCTAACCCACATGGAGGGGGAGGTTCTGAGTTCATGTCCAGAGACCTCCCTGGACATGCCAGGTGCATGAGTGCCCATGATTCAGGGCTGGCAGAAGCTGTGGATGGATGCGGTGTGGGGATCCTGCTGTGGGTGCCTGTCTCTCGTTCTATCTTGTGCATAGAAGAAACTTGAAAATATAAAATAATCTGAAGGACCTAAGAGCTCTTTAGCCCTCTTTCCGCCATATGAGGCTATAAGAAGTGAGCTATCTGCAACCTGTAAGAGGGCCATCAGCATACCCTGGCCATGCTGCATCCTGAGCATGGACTTCGAGCCTCCAGAACTGTAAGCAATAATTTTTGTTGTTTATAAGCCACTTCATCTCTGGTGCTTTGTTACAACAGCGTGAACTAAGACACAACCTAGATGTTTGTAAATCGATAAATTATTATATGTCCACTATAAGTCCATCTAACAAAATATTCATACTCTACCATATTAAGCTACCACTAACTGCAAAAAGTGTGGATGAAGCTTACAACATAATATTAGTGAAGGAAATAGGACATGCAAGATTACTGAACAATTCCATTTATATGATGTGCAAAGGCAGACAAAAGTGGATCTGTGTGCTAAAAGTTAGCATAGTGGCAGTGTGTGTGTGTGTGTGTGTGTGTGTGTGTGTGTGTTGGGGCTGGTGGGCTGGAAGGACCATGAGGGGCTGGGGCAGGTGATGTGCTGTGTTCTGATTTGGGTGCCAGTTACGTGACTATGTACTCAGTGAAAAGTCATTGGCTGAGCTCTTATGATCTGGATGCTTCCATAGGTACATTAGTCTTCAAAATAAAAGTTCACTTATTAAAGGTCAATAAGGTGCTCGCTTCAGCAGTACATATACTAAATCTGGGATGACTCAAAGAAGATTAACAAGGCCCCTGTGTAAGGATGACACACCAATTCATGAGGCATTCCGTATTTTTAAGACAAAAACTGTATGGTCTTATATACTATGTGCCAAGTGTCTGCACTAAGTGGTGGACACTGAAGGACCCAATGGTGTATTAGAGAAAGTAATGGCAGACACCAAAGCTGCATGGTGTGGAGGGTGGGGATAGGGGAAAAATGGTTAAGAGACACAAGAATGAAAAAACAAAACCAAGTGAAATAAGTTATGGAATAGTACACTTCAACTGTATAAAAAAAAGACACAGAGAATTCAATATATAGTTCAAAAATAAAACTAGTAGAACTATTTCTGAATATATGCAACATATGTAGTGTTCAGTGTGGAAGAGGCGAGTATGTCCATATATTACACGCTGTATCCATGCTTTGAGAAACCACACGCTGTTCCACCAAATGTACAATGACTAAATGTAAATCAGAAATTACAGAAAGCTAAAAACTAAAATGTTAGCATGCTAAAATTAAATAAAAAGCTCAATGAGGAAAGGATGAACAATGAATACAGTGTCTATTTTATTTATAAAAGCATCCAGTCTCAGGTATTTCTTTTTCTTTTCTCTTCTTTTTTTCTTTCTCTCTTTCTCTTTCTTTCTTTTTCTTTTTTAAGGTTCTATCCATAAGTGTGTGTACTCACCAGAGAGTCTGAGAGAGACAGTAAGAGGGAAAGTGAGAAATCACCTCCCAGGAGGATAGCCAGTCACAATTCCTTCTCCTCCATTCTCTTCCTGGGATTTTGGCCAGGTACAAGCACCTGGCATGAGTTTCAAGCTACTGGGTCTGGGACTCAAACCGCAGTTGGCCATGTAGGAGTCCAGCACCTTAACTGCCATGCCACCTGCTGGCCCCCAGGTATTTCTGTTAACAATGCAACAATAAACTAAGGTAGTATATAAACTATATTTGCTTTACCTATTACTCCACTGATGGACACTTAGGTTGATTCCACATGCTGGCTATTGTGAATGCTGCTGCAATGAACATGAGTCTGTAGTATCTCTCTCACATACCGATTTCATTTTAGGGGAAGATACACCCAGAGGTAGGATTGTCAAACCTGGGATTTGAACCCAGGCAGCCCGGCTCTGGAGCTTAGACTGCTGCTTCTGTTCTGCTTCATTTTTTCTTTTAAATTTGCTATAGAGTGTATGCACTCGCTGGGGAAAAAAGAAGAGAGAGAGAGAGAGAGAGAGAGAGAGAGAAAGAGAGAAAGCACCCCCAGAGGGAATGGCCATGTCATAATTGCTTCTCTTTGTTCTCCTCTTGGGATTCTGGGCATGTATGCATATATTTTTCAAGCTGCTGGGTCTGGGACTCAAACCACACAGTTGGTCACGGGCAATCCAGTTGCCTTAATCATTATGCCATGTGCTGGCCCAAGCTTAGGCTCTTAAGACCTTTCTTCTGCCTCTTAACAACTTTCTCTGAGACTCATCATGTCATACACCTTCAGTAAATAGTAGTTATAATGTCACTATCACCCTCACCCAAGGAAATGGTTAGTGATGTCTGTGCCTTTGGTAGTGGGGTCCATCTGGAGGTCAGTAGAAGGTGTTTCAGTGGCTCTAGCCTCTGGGCCAGTAGGTGTGCACACATACACACCTTTCAGTATTGCTCTGCAGAAAATCATATTTCTCCCAAGAAGAGTTACAAGGAAACCACCCACTTTATTCACAAGCCACCCCACCTCTCTCAACCCTGGCCTCAAGTCACCTTCCACAGGCTCACCTGTATTCCTGGTGACATACCAACCCTTTGGCCAAGATAGCACTGTATTGCAGACCAGCCTTACAGGAACTTGTCAGGACGATGAACTAAAGACATCTAGATGGGTCATCTCTGAGGGCCTCTGTCCAAACTGGCTCACTCTGCCAAAATAGCGACCTGGGCAGAATCTGGGAGCCTGTGGTAGCTGCTTCCTTTCCAGAGTCTTCACCACCAAGCCCCAGGTCCCAGTTCGGGTGTGAGTGGTGAGTGGTTAGGAGAGGAGGAGGGTGGTAGATGGGGGCCACCACCTCTGAAAACTGACAGACACTCCCCACCTAGCTCTGCTACCCTCTTGAGGTAGGGCAATGGGTCTGTATGTTCATTTTTCTTTGCTTATTTACTAGTGGGATGCTGGGCTTCAGGCCTGCTTGGTCTTTTTTTTTAGAGAGAGAGATTTTTGCTGTAGTCATGTGCACTCACTGGACGGAGAGAGGCAGAAATACTGAAAATGAGAAATCACCCTGGTGGGATGGCCATGCTGCAATGCCTTCTCCATTTTCCTCTTGGGATCTTGGGCATACATGCACACGCACCTGGTGTGAGTTTTAAGCCTCATGGTCTGAGACTCGAGCCATAGTCAGCCACGTGGGAGTCCAGCAACGTAAACGCTACACCATCTGCTGGCTCCTCTGCGTGGTCTTAAATCTGAATGAGCCTACATAGGGAGTCTGTGGTCTTCTTTGCCACAGTATTCACCTCTCTGCAACATATCATACCTGGCTTACTTCCAGCATTTGTATCACCTGTCTGTACCCATCAGTGTGTGTATACTAGAGCAGACATTAGAATCTTCTGGAGGGCTTATTGAAACAAAGACAGGTGAGTGGAAAGGGCTCAGGAATAGAGCATGTAACAGACACAAGAATGTAAGGTTCTATGTTGAATACAATATCCTTGATTTATCACTTATCGCTCATTGTGCATGCTTTGAAAAACCATATTGTAAGCCATAAAGATGTACAACAAGGACCAGCATTTAGCATGGTGGTTAAGGCACTGGACCCCCACATGGCTGACCTCAGGTCAAGTCCTGTATCTGGTACCTTAAAAATCATGCTGGGCACATGTGCCTATGTGCCTAAGGTCCTGAGTGGAGAACAGAGAAGAGGGGATTGTAGTGTGCCCATCCCCCAGGGGGAGGAATGATTTCTTACTTTCCTTCTCTCTGTCTCTGTCTCTCTCCTGTGAGCTCAGGCACCTTATGACAAAAACAAATAAACAAAAAACTTTTTAAAAAATGTGCAATTAAACATTAAAAAAAAAAACGAGACCAGCAGTTGGTATAACGGCTAAATTGCTGGACTCCCATGCAGCCGAACACAGTTTGAGTCCTGGACTCGGTGGCTTAAACTCATGCCGGGCACACGTGTGTGTGTGTGCCCAACATCCCAAGAGGAGAATGGAGGAGAAGGGACTGTGGCGTGGCCATCCCCCCTGGGGGGTGATTTCTTGCTTTCTGTCTCTCTGTCTCTCTCTCTCTGTCTTTCTGGTGAGCGCACGTACCCTATAGCAAAAACCTCTCAAAAAAAAAAAAAAACCAAAACAAAAAACAACCAAAAAAAAAAAAAAAACCCAACAACAGCAATGAAAACAGAGATGGCTGGCCCCACCCTAGAGGGTCTGATTCAGGTCTTAGGTATGCCTCAAGAATCTACATTTCTATCAAGTTTCCAGGTAATATTGATGCTAGGGGCCCAAAGACCCTACTGCGAAAATCTCTGCTGGAGACCACTTTACCGTGACCTAGAGATAATCAGTTCAGTTCTAAACCCATTCAGCGGGTACCAGTGTGAGTCTGGCAGTGTTCTAGATGCAGGAGACACAGCGAGCAAGATAGGCATGCTCCTTCATCTCGTGGGCTGACAGTCTCGTGGAGAAAGAAGTTAACAAATAAGCACACAGACAAATAAGTGAGAGCTCAGGGAGGTTCCAGTGCTCTGAAGAATGAACTGATTTACTGGATAGAGAGTAGATGGGGCTAGAGGTTCCCTTAGGGAGAACCAGCAGGGAATGCTGCTCTGGGGAGGTGACTTGTATGCTGAGAGCTGAGTTAAGAAAAGAACCTGGGGCTGGCAAGTAGTACGGTGGTTGAGAGTGCTGGACTCCCAGGTGGCCGCTGGTGGTTCAAATCCTGGACCTGGTGGCTTGCTTTCTTACTTTCCCTCTCTCTCTCTTTCTCACTTTGTCCCTCTCTGGTCAAGTTAAAAAAA